GCCTCACACATGCTAGGCAAGTGTTTTACCACTGAGCCACATCCCCAGCCCAACTCCAGCTCATCTTGAGATGACCAGACTTGGACCCCATCACAATCATAGAAAAGTATATGTAGCCATAACGTCTCAGTGAATGATGAGAAGGGTTTACTGGTCCTTTCTCTCCCTAATTTCTCTGCAACTGAGAGCCATTTCTTATGTCTTCCCCACCTCCCCCACTGTAGCCCCGCCAATGCCTCCCCATGCCCTGTTACATTCCCAGACATTTCAGCCTTGGCTCTAAGTTCCATACTATACTGGGGACAACACCAAACACCTTAGCTGAGTTCCTTCTCCCTAGAACAGTGGTTCTCAGCGAGGTCCCAGGGCCAGCAGTATCCATATCCCTTGGAAATTTGTCATCAATGCACATTCTCAGACCTAATGGATCAGACACTTGGGGCTGAGGCCCAGAATCCATGCTTCAACACAGACGTTGTGATGTGTGCTCGTGTCTGAGACCACTGCCATAGAATTACTCTGGAGTCATTTATTGTTACTTAAGCCTGGTCCTTGAGGGTCTCATCCCATGTCCTGATAGGCTTTTGAAATACTTCACCTAACACAAATGGGGAGTCTTCAGGGTGACATGGAAAGAATTCTGATGCTTGGAAAATAAGATTTTCTTCACCTTATTTCATCAATACAAATTACATATCTATTCACTGTTTTGAGACAAAATCAAGGATGCTTTCTGGTTGGCCAAAGATTTGGCCTTTCCGTTTGTTAGAGGTCCCTGTGCCTCCTTATTCGCACCCACCCATGTAGCTGTGAAGGAGGGATGTGGACCTGCTGCTTTCCATGGAGGTTCAAGGGCACGAACATATGGCCAGTGCTGGGGAGCCGTGTTGGCTGCTGCTCTGGATCGCAGCAGGAGCAGGTGACCAGGTGACATCTTTAGCAAGTGTCAGTGCTGTGCCTCCGGGGCAAGCAGGATTTTGGACCTTCTGGATGAGGCCCCATCCCAGGCCCCTTGTCTGCAAGACCCGGCCACTGCCCACGGCCTCAAGGACAGGGATGGGGTTAGCAAGAGACCAGGGAGTGTGGAATCTGTCTCTGAACACGGGTCAGGGAGAGGATGATGAGACCAAGACTGGGCCAGACTTGCAGGCCTCAGGGTCCTGGGGGAGGGAACTCTGTGTGGGGAGCTAGCTTTCTGCTGGTGTGGCAGGTGGGGCCTGTCCTGTGTGGTGTCATTCAGTTGTAGAAAGGAAGTGGGACATTCTGTAGTCAGGGGCTGCTGAGGCCTGAGGTGTGTGGTATAATTAAAAGGTCAAAGCGTTTGTTTTGTTAGACCTTTCTTTCTTTTAATTTTTTTTTTAGTTGTTGATGGACCTTTATTTAATTTATTTGCATGTGGTGCTGAGAATCAAACCCAGTGCCTCACACATGTTAGATAAGCGCTCTACCACCAAGCTCTAACCCCAGCTCCTTGTTAGACCTTTCCGAACAGAAGTTTGCACTTATATTTCCTAAGATTCCCTCACCTTTATGATAAAGTCAGAGGAAATATTAGGAACCTTGAAGGTGCATGGGTTAGGGAGAGAGACCTGGGGGTGTTGGGGTGCTGAGTAGCCAAGGGATCTTGGAGAACTCCTACAGAACAGGTCACTGTGCCTTGCTTTCTGTAGCCAGACCTTCTAATCATCTGCAAGAAAATGTGCCTGAAAAATCATATCAATGGGTTGTTTCTTATTGTGGAATGTGCCCCCAATTGGATTTTAAAAGCTCATATTTATTTCATGTATTTTGTTGGATAATTTCGGGTAGTTCGGCCTGCTTGGATAAAACATATAGGGTCTGGGGCAAACGATACTGGGTTTGTGTCTCACTCCTGCCGCTTTCTAATTTCCGAGCCTCAGTTTCCTTCTCAGAGAAATGAGATGAATCCCATCCACACCGGATGGGACTGAGGGAGCAGGGAGATAGAGCACAAGTTCATAAAGAGCCAGGGACAGTGCCTGGGACAAATCCAAGGCTTAGTAAATGTTCCTTCACCCGCCCCTTTTTCTTCCATAGTCTATTTCATATACAAATGGGTAAAAAAAAAAATTGGACAAAACAATGCAAAGAGAGCAAAAGTCAACATTTATTTGTCCTGCGGTTGGTGCTAGCTGGTTTACATTTCAGTGCTGTGGACTTCATCTTGCCTTGATGTACCTGGGTCTGAGCCCTCGCTGGGCTGAGGCGAGGTGTCCTTACACCAGAGGAGCCGCCTGCAGAGGTATCTCCTGAGTGTCCTGTTCCGAAACACACAGAGAAGAGGGGTGACGCAGCAGAGGGCGATGGCCACGATCTCTGTGACCTGAACGCTCATGTCCAGTCGGTAGGTGCCCTTGCAGTCCTGGAGGGAGAAGTGTTCTTTGAAAGCAGACAGGAAAAGCACGACGTTGTAGGGTGCCCACATCAAAAGGAAGAGGGCGGTCAGGGCAAAAGGGAGCCTAGAAAGGTCCGGCGGACTCTCCCTGAGCCTCTGTGGGTTTCTCATTCGCACGTAGCAAAATGCAAAAACGAGCAGCGGGAAAACCAGTACCAAAATGTTCATCTTCAGAGTCAGAAAATGCTTCCAGAAGGCCTCATGAGCTGGCAGAAAGTGGGATCTGCTCAAGGGGCACCACTGGTCTCCCTGGAATCCCACCTGAGGTTGATAAAGCACTACGTATTCAGGCAAAGCGACCAGAGAGGCCACCACCCACGTCAGAACACTTGTAATCACAGTGCCCGGCGTCGTCCTGAAGGCTGGGGACAACCATCTCACGTGGAAAAACACCGCGTACCTTTGCAGGATCAGGAGGGTGTTGAAAAGCGCCTCACTGAACACACCCACCGAGCGGAGTCCTGCGAAAACCCAGCATAGCGGCTCCTCGGCGCGTCTTCTCTCCAGAGCAGTGTGAAACCAGAAGGGCAGGAAAAGCAAGAAGCACATCTTGGAAATGGCCAAGTTCAGAAAATAGGTTTTGTCCACGTATTTCAGTCCTTTATATTTGACCAGGACAAACACAAACAAGGCATTGCCCAGGAGACCGGCCACCAACAGGGTGCCGCTGAACGGCAGCACCTGCTGGGCTGAGAGGACCTGGGCCATGTATCTGTCACACGGTGGTGGTTCCACCTCGTCGTCGTTCTTCTTTGGACCATCGCTGATGAAGACGTCGTAGTCGTCGTCTGGGGCGGCTGTGTAATTATCCATTTTCTGGATGTCCTGTGGATAAACAAGAGATTATTTCTCCTCCCTGTGGCTATAATAATATCCCAGAAGAAACCACAACCAGAAATGGCACCCACAGAGCCACACGGTCCCCTGGCTTTATTCTAACCAGAGTAGGTCTGCAACACAGAAGGCTGAAATTAAACACTTTTTTTTTTTTTTAAACAGGTGCCCACCTCCCTTGGAGCAGCAGTGACTATATTCATCTGACTCTTAAGTACTTAGTGGTGTGCTAGGTGCCCCAGGGCATTAAAATAGGCATGACATCATCTTGGCTTAATTTCTTCTAGTTGCCACAAGGCTAGCCTACTTGGAAACCATATTCAAGAACACATACAATGAAAGAGAACCGAATACCGCAGCTTTCAATTGCAAGAAATCCGTGTAGGTCTTAATAATATCTACATGTTCAAAAAGTTTGCTCACCCTTGAAACAGCTTCCTGTGACAGGCGGAGATGTTTCCCCTCTCGAGGGAGATAAACAAATGTTTGCAAAAGTGAAACCACGCGGAGCATCCCCGTGGGCAGAACTTATAGGACTTACCACTTGACCGAGTTCCTGCGGGGAGGGGCGCAGTCTCTTGATCCACCATCCAGGGAGCCGTGGGAATTCCTGGGGCGGCGGGAAGACGGCTTCCTTCTGAGCGAGCTGGTTGAGACCCTCAGGGACAAGAGGAGCCACTCACTGTTATTGCCTGGGTGGCTCTGCCCCTTCAGTCTCGCAGGGATCAGCTGAGTTCAGCAGCCAGTTGAACTCTGGACCCTCTCAGGAGCCTCTGAAAGGAACGGGGACGTTTTCTCCTCCCCTCTTCTCCTGGACCCCGCCTTTAATTTCCCCACGGCCTTTTAGACCACTGTCCTTCTGCAGCCGTAGATAAGGGAACTAAGCTACTGCTGCTTTGAGTGATAGTTGGCGGCTGGCGTCACCCTGCTGAGAAGCACCGAGACCCCTCTGGCTTCTGACATTAGCGCTCTGAATAGGCGGCAGCCACCAGAGGAGAAGCGTGTCTGTGGCCATCCGGAGTCCAGACCTGAGGGTCCTGACCCTTCCCAGGCCGCGTCCCCGCGTCAGTGCCGGGATGGGGAACCTGCCCCGAGAGCCCCCCTCCAGCAGGGTGTGTTTGGATCTTTGTGGCTATTTTCGAGAGGCACAGTGGGCTTTGGCTGAGGGTCTAAGAGGGAAAAATGGAAGCCACCGAGGGAAGTCAGCGGGGAAGGACAGGTTGGGGGACAGAGTGGGGCAGAGATGGCGTCAGTGTCTGTGAGTGCAGGGCTGCCTGGGCAATGATGTCGACGACAGCAAGGCGTGCTGCAGGCGCCCCGGAAGTCCTCTGTGCTGCGGGGACATCTGGGGCAGCTGACCCTGTTCTGTGAAGAACCCAGAGCAGGGAAAACCCCAAATGAGGACATGGAGGGGACTTCAGGTCAGGTGGGAAAGAATACGAGGAAAATGAGTGGAACCTCAAACTGAGGCTGGGGTGGAGGAAGGAGACGGAGCCGACACACAGATCTAGAGGTGGGAGGGGATAGTGGATGACGTGGAAGGCGTGTGAGCTCAGAAGAGGAACTTAAAAGAACTGGATAAAAAAATGTTGATGGACTTCTGTCGGGTCGATGACTCTTGGTACCTGGGATCCACCTCATTTGGAAATCAGTCCTATGTATCCGCCTGGCATGGGTGACTCTGGTACAGTGACCTCCTTTTTATCACTAAAGATGCATCTGAGGTAGCAAGGAATTCAGAAGGTGAACCTTCCAACTAGGAAGAGTAAGAGAAAGAGAAGCATAAAAAAGCCCCGATAGATGTGTGACGGGACATTAGGCTCCAAGCGTATACCCATGGCCACAGCAGAAAGGGAGACATGGGTTGGGGCAGCGGAACCCAGGCTGTGAGAGGACCCCAGTGAGTCCTCTCCTCTCTCGGGTGAGGGAGTGGGGTTGCCAGGCCCTGGGAACCTCTGACCTCCTGTTGGTGGTGGCTGCGGCCCCTCTCCCTCCTCCTGAGGTCTCACTGACTCTGCAGCCACCCCAGAACACTAGAAGGCAGGTGGCTAGGTGAGGGTGGCTCAGTGGTCAGCCCCAGGCAGGGGAGGGAGAGCCAAGTCAGAATCGAAACTCGAACAAGCCACCAGGAAACACATGGCTCATTAGATGACGGATGGCTGGGGGGAGGGGAGAGGTGGGGGGGAAGAGCAGGTAGGCACATCATACACCACGTGTCACCGAATCACATGAAATTTAAATTTTCCTCGATTTTTTTTTTCCACCCTAACTTCTCAATTAGCATGGCCTTCACTTTCAGTATTATTTGGTTTTGGCTTGATTCCCACCATTCTGACGAGTCACACCCAGGCCATGAGATTCCTGAAGCTTCTTCTAAACTGGTAGGAAGGAGAAGCTTAGAGGTCTGAAGCTGAGGCGCAAGGAAAGTTCCATTTACCATTCGACTGTCTGGACATTGCATTAGCCAGCGCTCTCTCAACTGTGACAAAATACCTGAGATAATCGACTTTAAAGAGGGAAAAGTTGGCTCACGGATTCAGAGGCTTCAATCCATGTTCACTTGCCCCTGGTGCCTTTGGGGCTGTGATGAGGTAGCTCATTGTGGTAGGAAAACCAGGCTGAAAGGGCTGCAAAGTGAAAAAGAGAGGCAGGAAGGGGCAGGGGTTCCCCTATTTCCTTCTAGTAGGTTCCACCTCTTCAAGGTTTCTCTACTTTGCCATAGAAACACAGGCTGGGCACCAAACCTTCCTCATGTGTGTGGCCTTTGTGTGGAGGGGTGCTCATCCAAAGCATAGCAGCCGTCTTGGCTGATGAAACTCTAGCACATTCTGTGGCTTTGGCCTGTGGCTCACAGACCTTACCCTTGAAGGTCTGGGTTCCTCCTTATCACAGCCTTCCACCCCAGATTCAACCTAAGAAGCCATCCTGTCCTACTCTCGCTCCCCCCTACAGCTTGAAAATCATCCCTTCACTCAACCAACATTGAAGAGGGTCTTACAGGGGTCAGCCTGTTCCCGGTGCCAGGGATACATCAAGGAGGAAAACAGCCCCAAATCCCGACCTTCACGGGGCATACGCTCAGCAGACTAAAACCAAAGAAGCAAGTCGATGGCAGGTTGGTAGAAAAGCAGCTCTATGGGAAGAGGAAGTGAGGAAGGAGAATAGGAAGGGTAGGTGGTTTGGTCGTCCAAAGAGCCTTGCTGAGAAGGTGGGCGCAGGACAGCCAGGTCCCATAGTTATGGTTTATGGCCTCAGCCTTTCTTGCTGCTGAGTTCTTGTATCAAGGGAAGCTGAAAACACATTCTGGGTGATAGTTTCAGAAATAATGTTATGGACGAGGTAGACAGGTTCTCCGTATCATATTGCAGGCTGGCCAGCCACTCTATCAAGGTAGGTTCCTGCTCAGGAGGTGTGAGCCGCCTGGGAAATAAAAAGTCTGAAATAATTCGTAAGAAATAGAGCCAGAGCCAGAAATTAGTTATAAAAAGGGGAGCGCTTTGACGGGTCTTCAAGTCCTGATAGGAGGTGGAAGTGAACAACTGAAAAAGGGCCCCGAGTCTCTGTGGAAGGGGGAGCACGTCAAAGGCAGGGTTAAGGTTGCAGCCGGAGGAGTCCTGGGTGCTTGCTTCTCGGTGTGGCAGGGGTCTGGCAGGAAGCAGGTCGATGGGCATTTTGGCAAGCCACACCCATCTCTGAGAGGCTGGGTCTCCCCATCTCCCATGCTGTGCTGAGCTTGTGATGGAGCGAGGTAGGACGCCACATGAACCAGTCATTCTCAAACCAGCTGGGTTGCTGTTGGGAGTTCCTGAAACCAGCCTTTCCTGCCTAATGGCTTCAACATTGTTTTAGTTCATGACAGTTCACTGAAGGCTGCCTGCAAAAATCGCCTGGACCCTCACTGCACAAATAAACAAAAAGCCAAGGATACCATACACAGTTGTTGAGGTTCTGCACTGCAGCTCGGTCTTGCCCTGTGATTTCAGAGCTGGGCCCCGTAAGCACATCTCCTTTGCTGGCTGGCATACGAGGCGTAGGGAAGTTATGGTAAGAGGCAGGGGTCTCAGTTTCTGGCTCCAGAATTTGTTTCTGTTTTGTTCTGTTTTTGTCCCTTGGGATGATTTGCCTGTGCTGTGTGGAGACCCCGTGGTGGTGGCCACCCTATAGTGAATTTTGCAGACCCCACATGCTGAGAATTGGATGTAGTCGGAGGGTGTTTCTTGATGGTTCATGCATTGGAAGCTCGGTCCACAATTTGGTGCTCTTGAGTGTGGTGGAACTTTTAGGAGGTGCAAATGAGCTGATATAAAAGAACAAGATTGGCCTCTCCCAGATTTCTGGCTTCCTGTCTAGCCATATGCTCTTTCTCTCTCCCACACTGGTGTCATAGCCTTGAACTGCTCAAACAATGAGCTAAATAAATCTCTTTTCTTCACAGAGTACCTAACCTTAGGGATTTTGTTATAGCAACAGAAAACACTACAACAGGTGACTTCCTATTGAATTTTGGTGGCACCTAATGGGTAACCTCCTACTGAGTTTTGCTTAGCCTCTGAAAACAGCTTTCTTGACAGAGACATGCTGAGGACCCAGAGTGTCCACTTTTCTGAAGAACCTAACTGGAACCCTTCAGGTGGTTTCCTGCTTATCAGCCGAATGAATTTTAGGATTTTTTCCTACTTGTGTGAAAAGTTACAGTGATATTTTGATAGGATTCAATTGCATTTAACCTGTAGATTACTTAGGGTAGTATAGGTAATTTAACAATATTAATTCTTCCAGTTAATAAACCTGAGATTTCTTTTCATTGATTTGCATCTTCTTTAATTTGTTTCATCAGTGTCTTATAGTTTTCAGTGTCCAGATCCTTTGCCTCATTGATTAAATTTATACCTAAGTATTTTATTTATTTTTTGATACTATTATAAATGGAATTAGTTTCTTAATTTCTTTTTTCAGATGATTTATTGTTGGTGAATAGAAATGCTACTGACTTTGACATGTTGATTCTGTAACCTGCCACTTGGTTTAATTTGTTAGTTCTATTTTGTGTGTGTGTGTGTGTGTGTGTGTGTGTGTGTGTGTGTGTGTATGTGTGTGTGAAAGAGAGAGAGAGAGAGAGAGAGAGAATGTGTGTGTTTAGTCTTTCAGATTTTCTATAAATAATATCATGTCATCAGTAGACAATTTCACTTCTTCCCTATAAGATACCTTTTATTTCTTTTTCTTGTCTAATTGCTCTGGCCAGGATTTCTAGTACTATGATGAATGATGTGAAGAGCAAATAAGTCCTGGTCATTAGCCTATCCTGTGTGTTGGCAAAACCATGCCTGGGAAACATTCCCTGCCAAAGGCAAGATGTGGGAATAGCCTTGACACTCGGTTCTGATGCTAACAGTTATAAAGTATTCTGGTAAAATGGGTTTTCTGGGCACAACAGGATAGCCACAAGAAATTCCTAATTCTTTACTTTTTAGTGCACAAAGAAGCCTCTCAATCACTCTCAAGCTTTGGACAATTTACAAGGCTTCTGTAATTTAACTTCCTGATAATGAGACTCTATATAATAAACATGTGAGCTGGTTCTGGGTCACTATTCCTCCATCAGAGGAGAGTGTCCCACCTAGCCTCAGCTTTGCTTAAAAATGTCTCTGTGTTTTTCTCAATCTCCTGTCACCCCTCCTCTAGATCTTTCCTTGTTGCTTTGTTGTGGTGGCAGAACAAAAGGGGCAAGAGTAGACCTTCCTGTATTGTTCTTCATTTTAGAGAGAAAGCTTTCATTTATTCGCTGTAATGTGATGTGAAAAGTGTGCTGGACCTGTGTAGCCTTCACACTGTTTGAGGTCTATACATATTTTTGAGATACTTTAGAATGAGTGGATGTTCGATTTTGTCAGATTCTTTTTCTGCATTTTTTGAGGTCATCATATGGTTTGGGGCCTTATTTTTGCTAATGTGGAATATTGCATTTATTGATTCAGGTATGTTGAACCATTCTCGAATCCCTTGGATAAATCCTGCTTTATGGTGAATGATGTTCTTACTGTGTTGTTGAATTCATTTTACTGAGGATTTTTTTTGTATCTCTGTTTATCAGGGATATTGGTCTGTAGTTTTCTTGCAGTGTCCTTGTCTGACTTTGATATTAGGGTAATTTTGGTCTCATAAAATGAGTTTGGAAGTATTCCATCCTCTTCAATTTTTTGGAAGAGTATGAAAAGGACTGGTATGAATTCTTCTTTAAATGTTTGTCTAAGTATAACAGTGAGGTCATCAGGTCCTGGGATTTCCTTTGATGTGAGACTTTTTGTTATTAATTTGATCTTCTTATTTGTTATTGGTCTGTCCAGATTTCTTATTTCTTCCTTATTCAGCCTTGGTAGATCACACGCTTCTAGGAATTTACCCATTTCTTTTAGGTAATTCAATTTTTTTTGTGTGTGTGTGTGTGTGTGTATAGCTGTTCACAGCAGTCTCTCATATTTCTGAGATATACATCTTCTTTCATTTGTTTT